TTTACTACTAACAAATTATGGGTTTAGGCAAGAAATAAAATTTATTAAGAATATTGATTTAAATTTTGACCCGAATCGCACGCGGTGTGAAATATCCATCGAACCGAGCGGCAATAACGCGTGGTGTCCCATGGGCGAAAAAGTACATTATTCATGTTTGAAGGCGACGTTTTATTGCTTTCCATCAAGTGAACTGTCAAGTCGGGTTGTGCCATATTTGTTCAATGACCTCTCTTCCTTTAATTTTTTTTCTTAGTCTACCATTTCTGTTTTTCCTTCAATCAGAAGCACAATTGTTTTCATAAATTCAATATTTTTTCTCATATCATCATCCTCATTATTGTCATTTCAGTCATTTATAGTCTACTGCTGAACATTGGTCTCCCACTTAAACGGGATTTTACCACAAGTAACCGTCACGCTTGGCAGGCGGATTAGCAACCGCCGTCAGGATTTGGTGATGTTTCAAAGGGATGTTGCTACCTGTCTCTCGACCATTAAGTTCCCTTAGTCGCCTCTTAAGACACTTACGGGAAAGGAAGGGGTGGCCTATGTCAATATGTATGTATGTCAAGACCACACGGCAGTTTTTTTCCACAATTAATCCTAATTATTGATTAATCATTGATCACCGTATAGTCCCGGCATAGAATAGGCCATCCTTTCCTTTCCCGTGGGGGTCGTAAGAGGCGACTAAGGGAGTACGACGAATGGGCACCAGCATACCTCTTAAAACATACAAAGCCTAACTGCGGTTACCAACTCGCCTGCCAAACGTGACAACTACTGGCACAAACCCCCAAGAGCCTCCCCTTTGGGGGTGTTCAGCAGTGAACAGTTAAAGGCTGACATGATGATGATGATGATGATGATGATGATGATGATGATGATGACATTATAACTAAATATTTAGAAAAAATAATATGAGAGTTCTTAACGAGACCAATAGATGCCGAAATAACATTTTTTTAAATTTTATCTGTCTGTTTCTATGTTTGTTCTGGTGTCAGCCAAAAATTACTGCACCAAATTTTATGTGAGTTTCACATTTGTATTCCTGAATGTCTGACTTAATACCTGGTGTATGTTTTATCTTTAAGCTCTATCTAGAAATGATCTATTTCATTGATTTTACTACTTCTGAAGTTTACGGGCACAAAGTAGCGGGCAAAAGACTAGTAAATAAACAGGTCAGATGCGATTTGAACTCAAATGCCGAGAGTTTCATACATAAATGTATAAACATGGGATAAAATGAACTTTATTGCATTTATGATGTGAAATAGGTACCTAATAGTTATTTCTTATTTATGATATTATTGTACGGATCCCTTAATAAAGAAAATAAAAATATTTTTTTCAAATATTTCCATTGCTATACACATAGGCAATAATATTGCTTTCAAATCGATAGCATTAGTAGTTGTTAAGATATAAAACTTTCTCTGTCTGTGTAAGAGAGAGAAAGTTGTCATAAGTGTTCCTTTGTACTTTTATTGTACAAAATCCAAAAATAAAATAAAAAATAAAACCAAACAAAGTGATTTTACAGAGTAAAATACTACGAGTGACATACTCGCATTGTTTGTACAGAACATCGTTTGTCGAGTCAAATAGTACATCTATAAATATTAAACAATATATTATAATGCGCTACCCATGACATAAGACAAGTGTCTAACAAATTTTCTTTAATAAAAGTATACGAATATCTTATGAAGAAGCTGTGAAAGCAGTTATGAGATCTATTGTTGCTTTATTTATTTAAGCCTCCTCTTTTGGGGGTTTTGCCAGTAGTTGCTACGCTTGGCAGTCGGTCAGGCTTTAGAGATGTTTTAGGAGGGACATTTCTGTCCATCCCTCACCCTCTTTTAGTCAGCTCTTACGACACCTATTCTATGCCGAGACCACACAGGTAAATAATATTAGTTTAATATATTTATTTAAGTATATTTACATGATCATAATGTGCAGTGGTTATCCATTGCATGTGTTATATAATTTGGAAGTCCATTTGGATAAGTCTGTTCAACAATTTTCAATTTTACTCCGCATAATTACATTTCTGTTTTACCAAAGGTTGACTGTATGTATGCATATATAGTATTAAGTCCGCCTTTTGTACTAATCACTTTTTGTATATGTATGTATATATGTGTATATTATATCTCAAATTTATGTTGTCTAATAGCAATTGTATTCCTTTTATTGTTATGTGATATCTTTTATCTTTTTTATTCATTATTAAATTTATCTCAATTGCATACTACAAAGCATAGTCTGCAAATACATGGATTACGCAAAACTAATATTTTACTATTTGCGAACAAAAATTCTTGTCTACGTAGTCTTAAATAAATCTATATGGGTTTCATTATAAGATGTGATAATCCGTCTCTGTACATTTGAACTTAGAAGAACAGATGCTTTGTGGTAAGCTTTGTCCAATTATAACATGAATGAATGTCCCCGCCGGCTTTCATCTATCTAGTCTTCTGTCTCTGTGACCGCTTATCTTCGGACATATCTCCAGATTCTCTAATTAAGCTCCAGTAATTTCGCGTTTAAGATTTTGTGGTGATAATGATACTTCAGAGAATGTTGGTCAATATTCCGATTCATTACTACTGGGGATAATGAATCGAACAGTTGAACATGGTTAATAGATCGAACAATTAATATCACACAATAATTTCTTGTCATGTCTCGAGACATCGTATGAAAACAGCGTGATTCACATCCACACAGCTGTCATAAATAGTACTATACATAAAATGTGTGTGTATAATAATAGGAAATCCTAGATTTATACTGCCGCATAAAAGTAATCCTAGCATCCGAATTTTTTTGTTCCATTTTTTTTATAAAGTCTTATTGTAGAGTCATGCCGATTATTACTTACCATAAATATAAATTTTTTTTGGGCATTTGGATGCAAACATCAGTGGATAATTAGAATTTTGGTTGAATCTGCTTTACTTGCAATGTTTTTTTAGTCATTGATTGTGCATTAGAATTTTTTGTTAATGAGTTTGATGTGTTCTTTTTTTGAAAGGCCTAATTGAGTTTATTTGAGACAACTATTTTGAAATTATATTTGTTCGAGTAGGATAGTGACAGCAGTACCTGCTTTGGTGAATTCAACGAAACTATATTACTTTACTAGTATTTTAGAATTTTCGATATTAAATTATATTTATAAACGGTCGCGTCCTAAAAATTATAAAAATATTTTCTTCTAACAAACGCAGTGGAACAAAACACAAGTATTTTATAACAATATGTGACCCAAATTATATTTTGTAATGATGAAAACACCATTCATAAACCAAATTAAACCCGGTGACGGTTGCAGACTCGCTTCCTGACACGTCGAATTTAAATATACTTGGCGAACTGTCGACAACAGATGTGTCGACGATGAAAAGCCATGAGGATGTAATTATTATTCTTAATTGTATTTGAAATTTTATGAAACTAAAGAAATTACTGTAATGTGTGCCACCATCCCAAAAAGTAGGAAATATTTGAAATTATATTTTTTTTATGTATGAATATATAATTCTCGTTTTGGTTACATATTAATATTCACAGTTGAAAATTTAAAAACAAAAATCTTTTTGCTTAGATTATGAAAAATCTCTTATTACATGGCATAAGGTATTAATTCTTTTCCGTTCCTCTATGTAGTTAGCTCAATCTAGTACTAAGAATTAATATAAAACCACTTTATTCGATCTACACTTTTTATCTAGTATTGAAATTGAAATTATAAATTTATTAAATGCAAGTGACAATAAACGTTTTAAATATCCAATATGAATCGTGAATCAATCAAAACTCAATATTATTACAACTCGCGGTGATGCAGAAACCATCTGTTAACATTACTCGATTTTATGAGCTCAGTTTATGGAAAGAATAGGGAGGGTAGCTACGATGTAATAAAGTATGGATATATTGAAATCGTATTTTAATAAATCCCGTTGTCAGGGATTGCTTGTATAACCGTCGTAATGGCCAACAATGGCGGCGATTTTGAATGGTACAATTACAATTCCAGAGGGAGATCCTGTATAAAAGTAGCACGAGCACCTCTGTCTCACTTGTGTTTTCGCCGTGTAATAGCTGCGATTTCATGGCTGTGTTTCAGTTTAATGAGTGGGATATGGCGGTAAAATGACAGAGTGCGGAAAGATAACATTACAGTCATCAAGAATGGTAACGCATAAAGGGCACCTTGGGCATCACAAAGTATCCTGTGACGTCCTTGGTGCTATTCATGTCTATAGGCGACGGATACCGCTTTTCGTCAGGTGAACCGTCAGCTTATTTGTCATTTGAAATTTCGTAAAAAAAATAAAATCATCTCAATAAGATTGTGAAAAGAAGAAAATAAAAAAAAAACAAATTAATGTTCCCATGACCGTAATCCCTGATGAGGTAGTCAGAGGCTATCAATTAAGTGTATAGGGTAAATAGGGTGTCTAAATATATTCATATTTTCTCGAGTGTATTTATATAATAATCGCAGTAGGGAGCAAATCTACCGCCATATTTAGGATTAATTTTGTTTGTGAAACATCCATCCATTCATGCTTAACATTAGAAAATTAATCGAAGCCATACAAAGTTTTTAATAATAATTTGAGATTTTTCAAAAAATAGCCGAATTTATTCTGGAATAAAGAAGTTTTACTTCATAAAACCTTACAAATACGAAACCAAAACGAGTGATTATATTTTCTGTGTCGGGAGTAAACTCACTCAGCGTTTCTGTTACTGCTATCCATAGGCTACAATAAATTGTTTACCATCAAAAGAACCGTATATTTGTTTTGGACTGTTGCTTTATAAAAACCTCTTTACGTCAAAAACGAATCATCTATATCGGTTCACAATAAAATCAAATAAAAAAAAGCATATTAAATTCGTATCAAAGAACCTCTCATTTTTCAAGTCGGAGGGGAAGTAATGGATTTTATATTAAAAACACTTACCAGATACTCAAGCACCATATTCCATCCAATAACAAAGGCTATAAATTCTCCAACGGTGACATAAGAGTACATGTACGCCGATCCGGTGGTATTCGGAACACGGACTCCGAACTCAGCGTAACAAGCACCTGGGAAATATTACATACGGATTAAAATTATATACGGATTGAAGGGAATTTATAATTAAATACGATGAAAATTATATATGGATTAAAATTAATACGATTTAAATAGTACCTTTATAAAGGGCAAAGCTAAATACGGATTAAAACTGTATATGGTTTTAAACTACGAGTTATATCATTGTCTATAGGGGTGAGCGTAGTTTACTTTAGTTGCATTGCAATTTTTGTTATGTAAAAAAAATACATAAAATCCACGATAATTGGTTGAGGCAAAGAGGCAAAGAATAAACTTATTTTTACATTTATAAATATCAGTAGGAATACCCAATGAATGGGCTTTTCTAAGATGTTTCTGTGATCAGTTTGAGTATGCACTATAATTTCATTGACGTGTTATACAAAACGAATCGTATTACGAATCGTGTAGAGTGGCCATTTTAACTTCCCTCCACAACGTGGGTGCGCCTTTGTAATATACGATCAATATACCTAAGTTGGCCAAGCAAAACGATAGAGGCAATAAAAATTTAATAAAGCCACTATTCAAAGGTCAAATATTTCGGGACTTCGTCCTTAGAGAATTCCAACTAGTTTTGTATAAAAGCTTAGAAGTAGTCGTGTAACTAAGTTTAGTTCGTACGTGTCATATTTAAGAAAAACAAATTGGATTTCTTTTTAAGCGTATATAATAGTGTTTTTTTTTGTACGCACAAAAAGGAATATTACGAAATTACTCATCACCATCACCATCATAAAATCTGTTACTTGTCCACTGCTGAATATAGGCCTTCACCATAAGCGGGGGTTTTGGTGTATTTACCATGTTTGGCAGGCGGGTGGGCAACCGTAGTTAGACTTTTGATTAATTTTTAAGAGAAACGCTAATGCCCATCCCTCGGTTATTCCCTTAATCGCCTCTTATGACTTACAGGGGAAAGAGAGAAACAGCTTATTTTATGCTGGGACTAAATAACTAATACTACTAGTATATCAATAATGACATGATATTAATATTTCTTTTAGCAATCGATAGGGTTTACTCTCGCGTTACTTATTAATTGCACCATAATTGTAGCTAAAATTTTTGTTGCGAATCAAAATATAAAATTATTATAAAGTTTATAGCCGATGAAAAATGTAAATCAACGTCAACAACACCACCTGCATGTCACAGGGTTGTTTGGTAGAAAATAGTAACTGTTACGATGGATACTATTAAAGAGTCACCTGTATGTCACAGAGTTATGTGACGGAAAATATTCACTTTATTCAATAGATATAAACGCCAACACTTGTAAATTATGTAATTATCTAATAGAAAAAGTAACTGTTATCAATAGTCAAAAATAGCATCGACCGCATTACATAGAATTGTCTGATAGATAATTAAAGGTTGTGTCTCACGAAAAAACCGATTTCGAATCAATTATTTTGACCTAAAAGCTAAACTAGTGAATTGGTTTTCATAAAATTCTTATAAAAAAAGAATTTTCCAAATTGGTTTAGTATTGACGGAGTTATGAGGTAACATATACAAAATACCGTGTGGTCCTGGTATAGAATCGGCCACCCCTTCCTTTCCCGTAGATGTCGTAAGAGGTGACTAAGGGAACTTAATGGTCGTTTGATAGGCAGCAGCGTCCTTATAAAAACTTAGCGTGTCAATTACTGGGAAAATTTCTTCTTTATTGGGGAGGCCTATGTTCAGCAGCAAACAGTTAACGGCTGATGTGATGACGATGTGATGACATACAAAATTAAATCGCTGTTCCGAAGTATTGTTTAAAAAATGAATATATATATATATATATATATATATATATATATATATATATATATATATATATATACGGAAAATTTACGAACTCATCTCATCATTGTCGTTTCCGATAATTGTTTCAGTTTCATTTGGAACTCTTTTTCAGAGAGCGTATGACGATGGGCATCTTAGTGCTAGTGACTGCAAGTACGAGTGAGTGAGAAAAGCGCAAAATACGGTGCACCGTTATATATATCGTATTACAATGTACATTAGTTTTAAAAATATTAATATAATTTTTGTGGGAATGGACACTAAATGTAAAGATACCGAAGGACATCCTCTTTTTCTTTTTAAACGTTAAAACATTAATTTTTGAAATCAGCAATCGTATATTAATTGAATAAAAGCTGAAAAACATTACGTAAACAACCATCAGTGAGTGACATGAATGCATGCAGCTTTATAAATTGCTAGAGACTAGCCCCGGGGTCGCACAAGTGCAATATTTATTTATGTAACTTTAAAACCGTTCATCATGCTTTAATATGGCTAGTATTTTGACATGTGTAAAAGTACTGCACTAATAAATTTCAGGACTTAAAATGAACGGCCTATTAGGCAATCTGATATGCATTCGTTTATATAGTTTATTCTGCGCCCTTCACCTCCGCGTCCCGTCTACTATTCTCGCACAGCCAGCGGCACCGACAACGCAATAATTTTATCGGCTTATTGTTTTTATCTCGCATTATCTTCTGACTGACTGCATCAATTAAAATGCTCTAAAAAGTAAACTTTATCTGCATGAAATTTTAATTTTGATTTAACTATTTGTTTTATAATAATTTGTAAAGTAACGTGAAATCTGTATCTAAATTATTGTAAAATTTATTTTACTTTTATTTTAACTTATAAGTAATGAATATTTTTGTTAGAGATTATATAGAATAATATAGATAACATAGATATGTTTGTCGACTTCGATTACATTTATTGTGATTAATTATTGAAAAATTATGTTTATTTAATAATTTTTTTATTTATTTAACTCTTTATTGCACCAAAAACAAAAAAAAAAGAATGACATAAACAATTCAACTGAAATACAGTAGCTTAGAGTACAGATTAAAGGAACAAAAGGCGGTCTTATTGCAAGAGCAATCTTTTACCTTTGACAAAATAAAAAGTAGTCTATAATATTCAGGTATAATATATCTTTCTAATAGTGAAATAAAATTTCAAACTTGGTTCAGTGGTACCGTAGATTACTTTGAAGATCCAAACTTACAAATTTTACCTCTTTATAATATTAGTATATAGATAGATGATGATTAAAAGTGCTTGTAAACAATTAATTTAAATATAGATGATTTGACTTCGAGTTTGAGTTCGCGTTTGAACAAACAAAAAAATACTATCGAATTGAAAACCTCCTCCTTAGTCAATTAATCAATTAAGGCGTTATGTGTGTAATTAACTTATAATTAATTGTAAAAAAGCTTACCAGAGAAGATACTAGCCATAGCAGCGATGATGAAACTGATGACGACTCCTGGCCCCGCAAACTTGCGGGCCACCATGCCAGCCACCAGGTACATGCCAGTACCCACACACGAGCCCACGCCGAGGGAAGTTAAGTCCATTGTCGTCAGGCATCGCTGTATAATAAAATATTTCATAAAGTGATTTGTTAATGCTAATTACTTATCTATACAAAATATGTCATTTTAACTTGTTATTTTGTCAGTGTGAATCATTATTCTTATTAATCTTGCTCTGTGGTTCTTCATCTATTAATGATGAGGGACCTTTGACAAAATTTATGGTTTACCATAAACCACAACTGTTTGAACTCCAAAGAGTAAATGGGAATATATTAGTAAAGTGATGTAATAATCTATTTCATATATAAAACAATATTTTTCAAATTGTAGTATAACCATTGCATTATGTCGACTTATTGCCATTTGTTTAATGTTTTTCAGATGGTTTCACTGACCACTTCGAGTGCTTCTAAAAACCATCTGTGGTCCACGGGTCACCAGTAAAAAAACACTCAAACCATAAGTTCTCAACGTGGGCGATAACGCCCCCCTGTGAGCATTAAAAACTTTCACGGAGACAGTAGAATATTAATATAACATTTAAATATAATTGTGGCAATAGCTGGCTATTCGATTAAAATTACTTTGTTTAACAAAATGTTAATATATTCAAGAAAAAATTTTAGAAATATATAATATAAAATGAATTTAGAATATCTGGGAACAGGTATATATTATAAAACAGTAGGTTCAATATATCTCTAATGAACCAACAGATAGAGGTAAGCAATTCACCCCATTTAAAATTCTTCTCTATATTCAGTCATTGCAATGGGGCATCATAAGATCTAGAAACAACGCCCATTTTCTATTCGACAAATACGGTGACATAGCAACAGTGACCTGTACTGAATTGTCGCAGTGACTCATTACAAGGTAATGCCACTCACCCCGCTACCCTAGTAAAAGGATATACCCTAGTAAAATTAGTCTTTCACAGTTTTGGGTGACGAACGGTTAATATTAGGCTCTGAGCAGCGATCTAAAAATTTACGTGGAGTTGCCTCGTTTAGAAGTGAAACCGACTGTCATTTCGTTCACACACGTTTTGCTTCACGTGCGTGAACGAAATGACAGTCAGAGATTGATGGCTAATATGGAAGATTGTAGAACTTTTGGTAGTATTAGCGGTGGTCAATCTTTGAGTGTTAGCAGTCACGTACGTGCTTACGGTGACGAAAGTAAAGTAATTTATTTTTCGATTTCAATTACGTTTATTATGATTAATTATTGAAAATATATATTTATCATAATAAAATATAGTCTAGAACACTTAATATACCTTTTTACAAGTAAAAAAATTCTGCTAAATCGGATCAGTAGTACCGAAGATTATACCGAAGATCCAAACTCACAAAGTTTACCTCTTTATAATATTAAGTATAGTATAGATATTTTAAGATAGTGTTCCATATAAAATCGACTTCAATCATGGCAAAACTAGTTACTTTTTTAAAACTAAACTATTAAACCTATTTCGTTAAAATATCTATATGAGACTAATCAAAAAGTATATACTCTCAGATAAAAAAGGAATTTTCTAAATCAGTTTATAAATTACTGAGTTATGAGGTAACAAATACAAAAAACACAAACTAATTTAGAGCCTCCCTTTTTAAAATTAGTTAAAAATAAAACTTTCTTCTATAATACTAAATACCGACTCCGGCCTCGTACGGATGCAAACTGTACGTAAAAACCTTTCGTAAAAGATATCTAAGTAACAGCGAAACCCATATCAAAAAGAAGTTTAAAAGTAGTAAGCTGAGATACAGACGTGGACAGCGGCTTTGTTTTATATAATTTAAAGATTACTTAGGACAGTCCTAATGGACAAATTTTCATCAGAATCTCTTTAAGGTTACCTTTCTATTTATAAAGTTATCAAGTGAGCAAACAATCTTGGCAAATTGAAAGCTTTTCTTTCACTATAATACTATCCCTTCTCTGCAGTTCATTCTCAAAGAAACACGCCAAGAGTTTTTATTTATTTTACGACAGAATTATCATTGGACATTCCCAACCCGTAGTGGATAACGGGACCCGTCTCAGAATAGTCTGTATGAACTAGTGACGTTTCATTCATAAGATAACAGGGACATGGGGGTTAGCGTACATCCTTAAGTACCTACAGAGTTGATTCTATAAGCTTATAGAAAGATAAAATTTTAATATGAATGAACATCAGTTATTTTTCGAACTTCAATCTCTAAAACATTTATTTAATCTTTACTTACTAATAAATACAAAAGCTTTTGTCACTTTTTTGCGCCTTAATTGCTCAACAATTGCTGTGATACCTGTTAGGTATACTTATATGTGATTATTTGTGATGGAGAAGTTGCTAATTTTTGTCACTGTCGAAAAGTCGTGAAACAATCTAGTAGGTATCATATAAAATTCAATAGTCCATATATAACTTTGTTTTCTGTTTATTTTGAGATCAGGAATGCATTTTAGTTTTGTATAACTAATTCGTAAATTGCGCTTTTGATATTCATGGGTTGTATATAATAATAACATTATAGCATTAATTCAATTTATTGAATAAAAATTTTTTGGTTTCATATTCTTGAAATTAATATTGCAGTTTTTTCAAACAGATGGTAATAAATAAACAAAAAAAAAGAAAAATTTACGTATTAAGTCCAAATACTCATTTTTAATTTACATATATTATCTTTATAAATTTTACTCATATACAAATATGTATGGATGTAGTTTCCGTATATCATTCCTATTGGAACTCCATGAGTTCCAAATTCCGAATTCATGAATACGATCTTATATTGTATTATACACTTAAATGATAATTATGTACCTAATACCTGCATAAAGATTCAGCCAATTCAACTTATAGCATTTTATATGTGATTCTTTAGATTGATATAACTTTTTTATTTATGATGTGTTGAAATAAAATAAATATTAAAGTTGAGCAAATCGCAACGCCTTAGTGAAAATTACATTCAAATCGGTTAAGCCGTTTCTGATAATGGCGTGTACAAACGTACAGATAAACAGATAAAAATTCTAAAAATCATTGTTTTGGGTTTTATCGCGTTCATAAAACCCCCCATAATAGTTTTTAAACGATATAATGATATATAGAAGAAACGAAGCGACAAGTTACGATTTTATTCTATGTATTGATTGATGAGCATTGCTCATAATAACATTTTAAACGTTTTACGGCTTTGGATTTTTATCCTATGTTTTTATATCTAAATTATAATATAAATTAGATAATCTTCACAAACATTATTTCGACCATTGTTCATTATTGTCCACTACAGAAGAAAAGTTTTCACAACATTTATGTTCTAGAAAAAATAACTATCTATTCTAAATGACTAAATCTAATACTAGCTTTAAACATAAATACGCTATAGAATTAAATTTTATTACTTTTACTCGTACCAGCATCTAGTATCCGAATATTTGAAAATAATTTATAAAGTTATAGGAATAGGGTCGAATATGGGGCATTAGCGGCAAAGTACCTACTTACAAATCGTCAATAACTGCCATTTTAAAGTTTGTTTGAACCATTTGAAAATGATGCTCTTCAATAATGATGATACGCATTGGAAAATGTTTAAAGCTATTATCAAGGGAGCCTTTGTTTTATAGTGCAATAATATGAAAGTTTGATGCTTGGAGTTTCAACAGCTACGTTATTGATTTTTCATCGCATGCAAGAACGAAGTTTTAATTTTCATCTGTGTCACGCTAAGATCTTTTTGGTGTAAGTAGTGAAAATGGAGTGCTATTGCCTCTTTCTTTACATACAAATCTCACTTTATCTACTTTATTTACTCATTTCTAGTATACGCGCTCGTTAGGTGACTCTTAATTCTTTTCTCGGAAAGAACATAGTTTATCTGATCATTTTAGTTTAAACCCAATTGTTCCCCGTATCTGCTTTCATGTATCTTCGTGTTGTACATTTGTTTCGTTAACATTGTAACTAACATTCTTCCCTTATCTTTGAACTAACATGCTGTATCTTATTTTACATAGCTTCTGCATATTACGAATGCGATTTGCCAGTTACAGTTCAGAAATTAATTAATTAATTAGAAATTTATCAAATGCATATAAATTATTTTAAATCCGAAAAACTGTGTTAATCACATCAAAATCAAAGAGACTAAACCAAAAAAAAGTAAATAGTAATATTTATATGAAGATTGAAGTCAAAAATAAAATACAGTAGCGTAATCACGTAAGACAATCATAATAAAAAATACAGGTGAATTAATAATATGCCCCATTTGCAAATAAATGCATAACATAATTCGAGCTCGAAATAGCTTTACGACGAGAACATATTTTTCTTCCAAGAAGTGGAGAACTATTATTTTATTATAGTAATAACATTCGAGTAGGTAAAGCTTTTGAAAAGTAGCACAACTCCATTCGACGTCTTATTAATTCAGTACTCAAGAGTATATATTTGTAAAAAGTAGATTGGTAAGTACTGAGCAATGCTGATGTTCTTTTAGAACTTAGTACTTATCTTTGTATACCTAGTTCCCACTTTGAAAATACAGATGTTTTTCTTTCAAGAAGTAGAAACTTTTATCTATAGTGTTAGAATTTTGAGGACAGTTTTTGTAACAGTAATATACAACTGTATAATTCTTTTTTTTTTTCAGTACATACTTTTATTGGCGACTTTTTTCTTCAGGCAAGTGGTCTAAAGAAGCGACGATTCGGTAGTCGGTTCTTTGAAGTCCGACATGCAAGAACGTAACTATGAAAACTGCATCTTATTTGGTGCAGTAATGTTTGCGGAACAACCATGCATATAGGCAGACACACAAAATTCCTAAAAATTACTAGTATTACGTATTTTTTTCTTAAATATGTCTTATATACGGGCATTGTCCAATTACATTTTCATTATACATATGTATATAGTTTCTCAAACAAAAAAAAAATTGGTAGACACTGAATAATTCTGATTTTTTTAACTAAAATTTTTTTTATGATTCCAATGTGTTTGCATTATTTATGGCCAGTTATTTGCATTAATATTACGGTTTGTC